GTCACATTGAGTACCAGGTGAGAGGCAACAATACCGACGCCTGGTGAGCCACAGTGAATACCTTACTGCGTCACATTGACACCAGGTGAGGCAACAATACCGACGCCTGGTGAGCCACAGTAACACTCTACTGCGCGTCACATTGACACCAGGTGAGGCAACAATACCGACGCCTGGTGAGCCACGCCTGGTGAGCCACAGTAACACTTGGTGAGTCACATTGACACCAGGTGAGGCAACAGTACTGACGCCTGGTGAGCCACAGTAACACCTACTGCGTCACATTGACACCAGGTGAGGCAACAATACTGACGCCTGGTGAGCCACAGTAACACATTGACACCAGGTGAGGCAACAGTACTGACGCCTGGTGAGCCACAGTAACACCTACTGCGTCACATTGACACCAGGTGAGGCAACAATACTGACGCCTGGTGAGCCACAGTAACACCTACTGCGTCACATTAACACCAGGTGAGGCAACAATACTGACGCCTGGTGAGCCACAGTAACACCTACTGCGTCACATTGACACCAGGTGAGGCAACAATACTGACGCCTGGTGAGCCACAGTAACACCTACTGCGTCACATTGACACCAGGTGAGGCAACAATACTGACGCCTTGTGAGTCATGTGACGCCCGGTGAGCCAGATGCCTGGTGAGTCATATTGAGACCAGGTGAGCCATACTAACGCCTGATGAGTCATACTAACGCCTGGTGAGCCATATAATGACTGGTGAGCCATATGCCCGGTGAGCCATATGATGCCTGGTGAGCCATATGACGCCTGGTGAGCCATATAATGCGCCAGAGCCATATGCCCGGTGAGCCATATGCCCGGTGAGCCATATGATGCCTGGTGAGCCATATGACGCCTGGTGAGCCATACTAACGCCTGGTGAGTCATACTGACGCCTGGTGAGCCATATGATGTCTGGTGAGTCATACTGACGCTTCGTGAGCCATACTGACGCTTCGTGAGCCACACTGACGCCTGGGGAGCCACACTGACGCCTGGGGGGCCACAGTGACTCCAGATGAGGTGTACGGACTCCTGGTGAACTACGATAACGCCTGGTGAAGTCTCTCTGGTATATGTTCTAGTTAAAGCTTTTCACACACGCGCGCGCGCGCACACACACACACACACGGCTACCATAACAACCA